GAAAGCTGGTCGTACTCGTCAACTTCATAATCAAACCGAAATCCAGGGCATACTTCTGATTTTCGGAATAATTTGTCAATGACCATTTGAGCATCTCCACCGGCAATATAGGCCTTCAAATCACGTTTGAAGTTTTTGAAGTCCACAGCAGTAGCACCAACACTTGAATACCCACCAACGGACTCCTTGAAAAGTCGGTATGATTTCATGGTACCAATGTTCGCTTTAGCACAGTTGAGTATGAACTTCTTATGGCCTAGATCAATGTTCCTGTTGATCTTCAAAAATGGCCTGTAGGGGAGAGAAGTGAGAGGATGGTTGTGCTGCTCTTCGAATATGCTGAGAACGTAACCATCATGTCCAAGGATGCGAAATGCAACACGTGCCATACAGCCTATACGCTTAGAAATGCGTCTTCTTCTCCCAGGTTTAGATAATGCAGCCCGTCCAATGACATGTGATGCATCATTGTGGGAGATTGTGGGGACATGTTTTTTACCCTCGCGGCTACAAACAACATATTGCCAAACAACGGAGCCCTCTTTCTTTGTAGTGGTAGTCTTGCGCACATCAAACCCCGCCTCAGCAGCATAAGCACGATAGAAACGAATAGCATCATCCAAGTCCTTGAAAACCATGCCGACCTTTGGAATGTAGTTATCAGGGCATTGCGGGACCCAATGACGTTCGGCGTAAGAACTGCTGCCTTCATTTGGCACTTCCTGGAACTTTGTGGGGGTAGCTGTATGAATAAAAGTAAATAATTCAGCACTATTTTAATATTACAGCTGCAACGTGAAACCATGATATTGAAATAACATACGTAGTAGGAGCATAGGAATATTGCAATTCAATTCAAGGAAATATACCAAAATTTGAGGATGACACCTAAATATTTCATCTTAGGAATGCATTAAAAACTCAGCTTAGGTGTGGAGTTTTAAATTAGTTTTAAACCTCAACGAGTCATTCATATGTGGAAGGAGACTTACAATCGAGTGGAGCAATATAACGGTGTGTGGCACATAACTGTTTTAATATGAAGCAATGTATTTACAGCTTTAGTAGTGAGATTTATGAAAGGAATGGCTAAATAATTGGTGAGAATTTCATTTGATTTGTGGGACATGTGAGCTAGGATGGTTATAGTGTGCATAGATTTGATGGGAAAATGCATTACTATGTTCTCTGTATGCATTAATTGGCGAAATGCGTCATTCAGAATTGGGATTGGTACTTTGTTCTTAAACCCAGAGTTTCGAAATTCAAACAAGTACAGTACTAAATTTTCAATCACAGAAATACTAAATTTTTTCCAAAAAAAAAAAGATAAATCTTTAACTGATAGGAAAAATTACAAAATAAGAGGGTTGAATTATTGGTACTTTGTTCTTAAACCCATAGTTTCGAAATTCACACAATCACTAATTTTTCAATCTCACAAATACTAAATTTTTTCCAAAAAAAAGAGATAATAATTAACTGATACGAAAAATTACAAAATAACAGGGTTGAATTCAAAGGGTACCTGGTTGTGAGTGAAATTCCATCGCGTAATCGTTGTCTCCGTGAACTTCCATAGGTTAAATGAAGGGGGCACGCCGGTAGTTCCTGAGAGTATTACGTCGAAGGGGGCACGCAGACGTATATGCGGAAGAATTAAAGAGGAATCCATACCAATAAATGTCTTCCGGTAACTGAAAATGCGTCGTAACCGGGGCTGAGTGTGCGCAGGGACGTGGGCTAATTTCACGGAGAAGAAGGTGGAACGATAATGCCCAGAGTGGTAAAGTTCTTTTCTACCCCTGCTACGGTTTAGATGGGAAATGACAGATAAAATGGATCCAACGATTAATATTTATTCTTATTTCTTTCATTAGATCTTTTTCTTATTTGATCCAAAACCTATATGTATATATATATAGATTTTGGTTCTGGTGAGAATGCAATCTTAGGAGAGAAATGAGAATGAATCTGGTGCTTTAAATTGCGAGATCTAAGGGTCAAGATTTCATCAAAATTAGATGCACCAAAATGGTGCGAAAATGCATCACGTCGAAATGCACCATAAACCTTCGAAAATGCAGTATCTCAAAATCTGAGCGCAGGATGCAATTTGAGCCGCACGATGCATCAGATCCGACGGCTAGATTTTATTCTCATTTCTCTCCACAAGGTGCATTCTCACGGGAACCGGCCCCTATATATATATATATATATATATAAGTAAATTCCATAATTGGTCCTTTATAATAGAGGGGTTTCCATATTTGATTCTCTATTATCAAATATTACCCCCGTAGTCCTTTTTTTAAGGGTACCTTTACACAAATGGTCCTTTTTTTATCTTCTACCGTGTTGGTGTTAATTTAAAGGCTAAAAGTATAATTTGACGTGAACATTATGTCTAGTGACGTGTTCTGATATTGGTTAAGCGGATAACACAAAAATAATGACTATGTTTGTGTGGTAGGATTCTGACGAAAGATTACATTTGTAGACTATAGTTGTCGTAAAAAGCAACTGTAATTCACAAACGACGCAAACGGAATAGCCTTTGGAATTGTGTATGACAAAAAAGATATATTATCATTGTGAAATTACACTTTTAGCCTCAAATTAACACCAACATGATAGAAGATCAAAAAAGGACTATTTGTGGAAAGATACCTATAAAAGAAGGATCACTTAGGTAATATTTGATAATAGAGGATTAAATAGGGAAATCCCTCTGTTATAAAGGATCAATTATAGAATTTACTATATATATATATATATATATATATATATATATATATATATATATATGTAACACCCTGAAAACCGGCTTAGTAGTGAGCCGTTATTTTAATGAAAAAATAAATATACCGAGTACTATTTATTGACTCCAGATATGAATTATTTGTAAGGTTGACCATTTTAATTAAAAATTAGGTTTTCGGATAGGTCTCAAGAAAAGGCGACCAATGGCATATAATTTGTCAAGTTTGGAATTTCGTGTGAATTGTGGTGAGGAAAATAGTCAACACAGTTCAATAAATTAATGTAAAGAGATTTAGTAATATAATAATGATAATAATAATAATAATAATAATAATAATAATAATAATAATAATAATAATAATAATAATAATAATAATAATAATAATAATAATAATAATAATAATAATAATAATAATAATAATAATAATAATAATAATAATAATAATAATAATAATAATAATAATAATAATAATAATAATAATAATAATAATAATACAGAGTAATAAATAAGGGAAAGAAACGGATATCCGTTATATATACAGTCCTTGCTTCCATGTCTTCTTCGCACGACCG